TTTTGCCAAAATAAGCGGTGGAAGTGACTCTGTGGAAATAAGAACATAGATTACAGAGCATCTGAAATGCTGTGCTCTGGCCTAGTCAAAACATTTTGATTCCTCTTGTCTGCAAATGACTCACGGGCAGGATTTCTTCACAGGAGGCCACACTAAAAGAGGCCATGAAAGTCGTGTTAGGGGAAACAGCAGCATCATTTTGTGGTCCTAGGGAGGCCTTCGGTAGCCAGGTGTTATTGTGTTGGCACAGCTGTGCTGCACGGCATCACGGGCCAGGACACTCTCTTTCTTTGGATTCCAGTAATTGCGGCTTAGGGTTGATTGCCTCTGTTCTGTTCCCAGCTTGCCTCAGACACTTAGCTGCCCAGAGTTGGCACAGACACCTATGGGGGTGAAGAGAAAACATCTCCATTAGATTGCCCTCTCCTCTCAGGCAAACCACAGGAAGTCTCATGAGGTCTCTTAGGCCACCCACACTTCGGCCCGCCGGGGTGATTCACTGAATCCACAGCTTTACTAAAGGACACACTTCAAGAAGAGCCAAACAGATGTGTAAGGCAGAGGACAGCAAGCGCCACACAGCATCCCAGTGGTCTCAGGGAGCAAACCCCCCTAGTGATGAGAAGATACACACAGAACCTAACCAAGAGTGGGTGTAGTAGAATATTTTAAGGTGTGTTACTTTTGTTCATGTTGCATTTGTTTAACTCTGTGAAGCTGTGTTACTTTGCCTGTGTAAAACTATGCCTGATGGTCTAACAAAGAACTGAACGACCAGTAGTGAGGCAGGAGAAAGGATAGGCAGGGCTGGCAGGCAGAGAGAATACATAGAGGGAGAAATCTGAGAAAGAAGAAGTAGCCAGAGAAGGAGGAGGACGTCAGGGGCCAGCCACCCAGCCACATAGCCACACAGCAAGCCATGGAGAAATAGTAAGATTTACAGAAGTTAGAGAATGGGAAAAGCCCAGAGGAAAAAGGTAGATGGGATAAATTAAAGTTAAGGAAAGATGGAAAGAAACAAGCCAAGCTAAGGCCAGGCAATCATAATTAAGAATAAGCCTCCATGTGTGATTTATTTGGGAGCTGGGTTGCTGGTCCCCCTGCCCCCTAAAAAACAACAACCAACAAGTGGGTGCCCACTCTGGGTAGTTGGTGTCAGAATAGGGTTGGGGTGGAAACAAGACAGAGAGAATACTCGTTATCAGTAATGTTAGCTGGCAGTTATGTGCAGAACCTGTCCATCAAGTCTCTGTAGGCAGAGCAGCAGGGGAGCTGACCCATTAAAGCCCCCCTGTCACCAGCCGTCTGGCTGGAGTCCTTCCGTCCTGTTCAGATAGGAGAGGCTCCCGACTGCTGTCCTTGGCAGCTTTTGTAATCTTTACCCTCAGGGTCTGACCCAGTGAGCAGCTGTGGCAGACAGAGGCAAACAGCAGCAGGAAGTTCCCTCAGCGTTAGTGTGCCTGTGCTGGCCTGGGCTTCCAGGACCCTCAGCCCCACAGGCGCAAGTGCCACAGACTGAGGCTGAGGAAGTGAGGCTGCTCCAGCTCAGTCAGTGCCCAGTGTCAGGCTTCAGCTCAGGCGAGGCTCCGGGGACCTGAGGGCCCTGGCCCGATGGGCTGGCTGCTCTCTGGAACTTTTCTAGTGACCAGGGCTTGCTTGCAGTTTTCCCACTCTGCCTCTTTGCGGCCCTCTATTTTTCTTTATCCCTGGCTCTATTTCCACACTCTTCTGCTTTCTCTCTCTGTCTGCCATTCCTCTTGATTCCCCTTTTGGAGCTTTTCATCTGCCTCTGCTTCCTGCAGAAGCTGTCATGGCTGCCAGCATGCATCGCCGTGCCCCTCCTGCTGTTATGGTCGCTATTTTCAGAGCCACCGCTGCTTCTGCCTGGTGGCTGTGGCTCCCAGGATTGCCACGTCACCACCAGGCTGGTGTGGCCGCCGATCCTCATGTGTCATAGCCTCGACCGCCACCACGGTCACTGCTACTTCCTTATTGTCCACCCCACTCTACGAGCCATAGAGACCGACAAGGAAAGACCGCTCAGAACAAGCCTTTCTATCGAGGATGCTACGACAACACTGTTTCCTGGCAGCCTGCTGGTCTAGCATCCAATCACAGCAGACCTACACGCAAGGGAAGGACGGTCTTTGCACACTGGTCACGGCATTGTCTCTTTCCCCCTAGTTACAACAGTTCCTCTGCTATATGAGCGGTGAGGGGTTCCCCTTCTGGACTAGGTACACTGATGCCAGGATAAGTCTGGACGGTGCTGGGGCTGCGCTTTAGGAACGGTAGCTGTGCGACAGCGGCAGGCAGCTGCAGTTGCCAGGTAGCTTCCTCAGAACATCTGCAGACTGTTTGAAGCAGCGAGAGCAGGAGTCAAGGACTGAACTGACAGACAGCCCTTTCCTCAGGGCACCCGGGGCATCGAAGAGGAGTCTAATAGGGACCAATCAGTGAGTCCCAGCTCCCATCCCCGACGTCTTAGCAAATTAACCGGGGGAAATGAACATAAGAGAGAGCATACAAAATAATGACTAGTCACTAATGATCAGTGTTGACCGGTGCTCTAACTTACCATGGCGCCTGTTCCCCAGGAAAGGTGGATCGTTCGGTCTACTTTGTCTCGTCCCCAGCACCGCAGAACCTGTGTTCACCAGCCAGAGATCTTCACTGACCCTCAATAAAGAGTTTTTATTGGGATTTTCCTTAAAGGTCATGGATTAAATCATTGGCCACATTAAAAATCTCAGCCTGCTCCCTTGCCCAGCTAGTGAGTTTGTGCCTCAGGTCGGTTTGGTCCAGAGTTCTAACACTTCGATCCCTTGTCTTCATTTTGATCATGTGCTGTCCTGAAGTAGCTGAGAGTTAACTTATCAGCATAAGTAGCAAAAATACCTTTATTGGAAAAACCCAAATGTCTTAGCAACTAAAGAAAATACTGAATATTATCTTTATAATACCATACTTCACTGTGAAGATGTAAAAATCACTGGGAATTTCAACTTATTATTATTATTAATTTTTTTGAGCAGCTACTACAGATCAACCCTTTGGATTATACATGCTGAAACAGTATTTTGGAATGTAAGCAGGCCATTACATGGAGGGTAGGCTGGAGGAAGTAGAGAGGGGTACATGGATAAGGGGCAGGCACACAGGGATGAAATCCAGACAAGGGGAGCCGGTGTGGAAATGGAAGAGGCGGGCTTGAGAAACACGAAAGTTTCAATGATTCAGCTTTTTATTGTTGTTGCTGTGGTGGTAGTGGTTTGAATATGAAATGTCCCCCAGAGGCTCATGTGTTTGAACACTTTGTCACCAGCTGGTGGCACTGTTTGGGAAAACTGTGGCACCTTTGCCGGGTAGCGCCTTGATGGAAGAAGTAAGTCGCTGGGGACAGACATACAAGCTTTACAGTCCCACTTCACCTCGTGTTCACTCTCTGCTTTGCGTGTGGAGATAACGTGACAAGCCAGCTCCCTTACCGCCACCAACGCCCTCCCTGTCCGCTGTCACGTCTTCCCTACCATGACGGAATCTATCCCCCAGAACCACGGGTCAAAATAAATCACTTCTCTTCTAAATGGCTTTTGTCGGAGTGTTTCATTGCATTAGTCGTGGACTGAACTGATAGAACATGTCCTCACAGTTCCCCATGAGAGGATGGACTTAAATCCCCTCAGACCAGGAGCAAAATAAGTGCCCTTCATTAAATGGCTTTTTTTTTGGGGGGGTGGGGGATTCTGCCACAATGATGAGAACAGCTAACACAGCTGGGAAGTTGATTTGCCAAAGCTCATGGAGTCTGGGAATTCACTTACCATCTATAAGTTGTAAAACACACCATTCCGTTAAAATGGAGGTGAATCCAAATGCTTACGAGTAGGGAATGTCAATACTTTCCCAGTGCTCAGTGTCCAACAAAGGTCAACAGACACATTCACAACAGCTTCTCACGCCCTCCGGGCCCTTCCCAGATGACAGAGAGGATGTCCTGGTTCTCTTTGGGAGGACTTAAGTATTCACCAGACTCTACCAAAGCTGTGCAGCAGAGACCAGACACCCTCAGGGTTTGCTGTGAAGGTGTCAGGGCATTTGGCTGTCATACGTGACATTTGCATGTGGCTGTCATACGTGACATTTGGGTGTGGCTGTCATACGTGACATTTGTGTGTGGCTGTCATATGTAACATTTGTGTGTGGCTGTCATACGTGACATTTGCGTGTGGCTGTCATACGTGACATTTGCGTGTGGCTGTCATATGTGACATTTGGGTGTGCTATTTCTCTTCTGCAGCCAGGAGACTGGACTAACTTAACATTGCAGAGAGCTTTGCAAACCTCTTCATAAGGTTTTATAAATCACTTCGGGGTCTTATGAGTTAAGGAGCAATCCATCGATGCTGCATATTGAACAATTCCCTAGTCATCCTGAGTAATGGTCATCCAGGTTTTTTAAAGCCCTTTCATTTTGAAACGCTCAAAAGCCCCCTCCCATTACCCACAGTCATAGTTAGGGTTTCTGTTGCTGTAAAGAAGACACCATGACCAGGACAACTCTTATAAAGGAAAACATTTAATTGGGACTGGTTTACAGTTGCAGAGGTTTAGTCCATTATCATCATGGAGGGACATGGCAGCATGCAGGCAGACATGGTGCTGGAGAGGTAGCTGAGCATTCTACATCTTGATCTGCAGGCAGCAAGAGGGGACACTGTTCCACACTGGGTGTAGCTTGAGCATAGGAGACCGCAAAGTCTGCCCCCACAATGACACACTCCTTCTAATAATTCCACGCCTACTCCAACAAGACCACACTTCCTAATAGTGCCACTCCCTATAGGGACCATTTTCTTACACACGACCACACCCACCTCTCCTTCACCTCTATTCAGGAGACCAGATAAGCCTAGCTGCCAGTCTGACTTCAAGAGCAGCATTGTGATGTGACCACTGAGCAGTGTCACAGTGTGCCCATCTCAGGGCTGAGGGAATTTGGACCACATGGAAGCTGGCAGCAGCACAGTCCTGATCATGAAACCTTCCCAGGTAAATAATTAATTGCCATAAAATGGTGGCATTCCATGCATCTCCAGATAGACTGTGAGATGCTTAATATTTGTCTTGGTTACCTGTGTCAGGTGACTTTTTTTGTTTTGTTTTGTTTTTCGAGACAGGGTTTCCCTGTGTAGCTTTGTGCCTTTCCTGGATCTCACTCTGTAGCCCAGGCTGGCCTTGAACTCACAGAGATCCGCCTGCCTCTGCCCCCTGAGTGCTGGGATTAAAGGTGTGAGCCACCACCGCCCAGCTCAGAAGTAACTCTTGATTCATGAGGAACGGTTACTCCGCTCATGCCTTCGGATGAGGCAGCCCCGGGCAGCCTGCCCATGTGCCTGGGCTGAGCACCGCAGTAGCAGAAGCTGCTTGGCAGAGGCTCTTTCATGTCTTAATGAACAGGAAACAGAGGAAAGGATAACACCGTGTGGAGGTATTCTAATTGTACTGAAATGTGATTTTGATTGTATGTTAATAAAGTTGCCCGGGGGGTCAGAGCTATTAGAGCCATAGCAAGAGCGTGGCGGTGGTGGCACACGCCTTTAATCCCAGCACTTGGTAGAAGAGCTAGGTAGATCTCTGTGTGTTCAGGGATACAGCCAGCATTGGAGACATACGCCTTTAAGACCTGGAGGGCTGTACATACAGGCAGTGACGAGGCAGTCACGTGTTTGGGTTTACAACCAATGAGAAGGCAGAACAAAAGACTATGAAAAGACATACACACAGGAAATAGCTCTCTTTTGGAGAGCTAGGACCACCGCAGGAGGAAGGGTGAGATTTTAGCTCTGAGCTCTGACCTCTTGGCTTTCTCTTTTACATTGGTTCTGTGTTTCTTATTTAATAAGATGGTTGGTTACATCTACAACACCGGAAGCATTTAGGGTAAGATCTAGCAACATGCCTCAGTAACTGAGCTCTTCCATGAAGGCCCCTAGCTTTCATAACCTCTTAAAAATGCCTTTTTTATTACAAATTATTTTTTATTAATAATGGTGTATGTATTTATATTTATATATGATATATTACAAATATATGAGTAAAGGTAAATATTATAAATATATAAATAATATATATAAATAAAATTTATTATAAATCTACCAAAGGGTTAAGGTATTGATTAGATCATAGACATCAGGACCTAATTATCTCTAGAAATGATACCATAGATACACCCATAAGTGTATTTCACAAATCCTCTAGGCCTTTCTTAATCCATTCAAGGTGAAAATCACAATTAACCATCAATCATAGACCACCACTTGTCAATCCGGCACCCAAACACATCACTTCAAACCCTAAAATTCCACCCTGTGCCCCAAACAGGGACACATCTATGTCATAAAGCAAAATGCATTCAGTGTATATTTAAAAATCCACCAAGACTATTCACAAGTTCAAAGTCTTCTCTAAGACTTGAGGCCAAACTCTTGGTTATAAGATGCTAAAATTAAAAAAATAAAACCCAGGGGCTGCCCTTCTGGTGGGCCTGAGTTCAATTCCAAGCACCCGCACGGCTGCTCACAACTGTCTGTGACTCCCTTCAGGCCATCGGACTCCCTTGTTCTGGCTTCTGAGGGCACTGAGCACACATTCACTGCACAGACACAGAGGCAAGCAAAATAAAATACACCACTGCACATGCTCCCAACTTACTTCCAACTCACATGGCACATAGCGAAGCACTGTCACTTCCAAAGGGAGAGATGGGCTGTGGGGATGGTTCAGTCAGGAAAACGTTTGCTGTGCAAGCAAGGGGACCCAAGTCTGACCTCCAGACCCCACGTGGGGTAAAAGGGTGGAGAGCAATGGCTTTCTTGGGCCAGCATTTCATATTCCTGACATCGACAACATACTGGAGTCTTCATTTCACCTTCGACCTCACCCTCACAGCTTCACACCCTACCCTTTCAGAGACTTCACACAGGAAACCAACCCTGCTACACAGCGCCTACCCTCTCAGGACTCCCTCTAAACGTTTGGGGGACTCCTCCATGACCTGTAACTCCCACATCCTGCATGCCTTTCGAAACGTGCATCTTATGGACAACACCAGATCTGCAGTCAGCTTAGACAACAGCTGCCCTGCTCCTTGGATCATGGCGGCCTCTGAGAGCCTGGATGACTCGGGCCTGGGAAACACTTGGTTAGACAGGCTTATGTAGCACTGAGTTTCAAAGCACTCTCCTCTCAAAGCAAGGATTTTCAAATGAATGCACAATTTTTCATTTGTTTGTTTTGTTTTCGAGACAGGGTTTCTCTGTGTAGCCCTGGCTGTCCTGGATCTTGCTCTGTAGACCAGGCTGGCCTTGAACTCACAGAAATCTGCCTCGGAGTGCTGGGATTAAAGGTGTGAGCCACCACCGCCCAGCTTTGAGTGCACAATTTTATGACATGGATCCTGAAATGGGTTGAGTCCAATCAGTCCTAAAGCCCCCAGTCTATGGCTCTACCAAGACCGCACCTACTTGACCTTCTCTGAAATGCCTCAGAACACCTTTCCCAATGTCCCACTGCAAGTGCTGGGTCTCTGTAACAGCACTGAACTCCTCCCATGTGTACAGCCTCTGCCCACATTTAAAACAAAACCTTATCTAGCCAGATGGTATGTTTTTATAATCCCTTTCTGCCCGTTGCTCTGATTATAAAAGATGCCAGCGGGGTTGGGGATTTAGCTCAGTGGTAGAGCACTTGCCTAGCAAGCGCAAGGCCCTGGGTTCGGTCCTCAGTTCTGGGGGGGGTGGGTGGGGGGAAGAACACCTTTTCAAATAGTTCTGAAGCTTGGAACTATATTAATGTTTTTTGGGGCTGGAGAGATGGCTCAGAGGTTAAGAGCACCGGCTGCTGTTCCAGAGGCCCTGAGTTCAATTCCCAGCAACCACTTGGTGGCTCACAACCATCTAGGATGAGATCTGGTGTCCTCTTTTGGCATGAAGGCATACATGCCAGAACACTGCATACATAATAAATAAATAAAAAAATTTTTAAAAATTAAAAAAAAAAAGATGCCAGCAATAAGAATCCTGAAAGCTGAATGCTTGCCGCCTTGAGATGTCCTCTTCCAGGGCAGGGGATGTAGCTCAGTTGACAGAATGCTTGCCCTGCACGTAGGAAGTCCTGGGTTTGGTCCTCAGCATAACATAAATCAGGTGTGGTGGCTTCTTGCCTGTAATTCCAGCACTTGAGGGGTATTGGTAGGAAGATCAGAAGTTCAAGGTCCTCCTCAGCTACTTAGTGAGTCAAGGCCAGCCTAGGATACACAAAACCCTTTCTCAAAAGAAAAAAGAAATTTCCTCTGCCTAATGAATTAGCCCATCAACTTTAAACTCAGATCCATTCAAAGTTTCAGGATGTGACACACATACGAAATGTAACCAAATTCTTTGCCAGAAAATAACCACAAATTGCCTCTAGTCCACTTCCCAATAGAATCCTTATTCTCGGTGGAACCTCAAAAGAATAGTCTTTGCCTTGTTTTTTGTTTTGTTTTTAACTTTAAAGATTAAGTCTAAGGCAAGTCCTGGTATATCCCCAGCCCTCTTTTTACTTTGCAATTTGAGACATGGTCTCACTAAGATGCCCAGGCTGCCCTTGAATCCACTCTAGACCCCATTATCCTGGCTAGTTTTGTGTCAACTTGACACAAGCTAGTCATCTGAAAGAAGAAACCTCAACTGAGAAGAGGCCTCTGTAAGGTCCAGCTGTAAGGCATCTTCTTAGAGATCAATGCGGAGGGCCCAGCTCACAGTGGGTGGTGTCACCCCTGGGCTGGTGGTCCTGGGCTCTATAAGAAAGCAGGTTGAGCAAGCCATGGGGAGCAAGCCAGTCAGCAGCACCCTCCATGGCCTCTGCATCAGCTCCTGCCTCCAGGTTCCTATCCTGTGTGAGTTCCTGTCCTGACTTCCGTCAGTGATGGACTGCAGTGTGGAAGTGAAAGCCGAACAAACCCTTTCCTCCCCAGCTTGCTTACTGGTCATGGTGTTCCACCACAGCAATAGAAACCTGACTAGAACACACGTGTAGGCTTTGAACTTGTGATCTTTCCATCTCAGCTTCCCAAGGAGCTGGGATTATAGGCTGAGCCACCAGACTAAGAGGAAAAGGCTCTCCAGTCTGTCACCGTGTGGTCTTCTAAGCACCCAGCAAGATCTGCCTGCAGCATTCTGGGGTCATCTCTCGCCCATTTCCCCAGATTCCTCCCACAACCAAACCCCTAAAGACTGTGAACAGGCTCACTCTTAGCAGCGACCTCACTTCTCTATCACTAGCTTTCTGTGTTGGTCAGATGTTTCCATCACTGGGACTAACACACTTGTGAGAACAAATTAAAGGAGTTTTTTCTCTCGAAGTTCCAGAAGCATCAATCCATCATGGTGAGGGTATGGTAGAGCAAAGCAGTCCACTTGATGGCAGCCAGGAAGCAAGAGAAGGGGCCATACAGGAAGAAGTCAGGCAAGACATAGCTCCCAGAGTGTACCCCCAGTGACATACTTCCTCCCACAAGGCTCCACTTTCTACTCACCACCTCCCAATAATGCCATCATTTACATATCCATCCAGGGAGAGAGCCATTGCTATGTCAGAGCGCTCATGTCCAATCATCCCTGAAAACACCTTCACAGACATGCTCAGAGGCCTGGTTTATTCATCTTCTTTATTAATCTCCTACATGTTCCTTTAGCCAACGAGTTGACAATCCAAATTAGCCATCTTACAATCTTTGTAGGTTTATTTGTGGTTATTCAAAGTTTGTTTGGATGCATCTTAAATGTCGGGAGTTTCGGAATGCAGACAAAGTTGGCAGAATACTTGTGTAGTGTGTGCTCAGTCCCGGGTTCTGTCCTTGGTACTGCATAAACCAGGTGTGCTGATGCATGCCTGTGTGTAATCCCAGCCCTGGAGAGGTGGAGGGGGAAGGGTCAGAAGTTCATGATATTCCTTGGCTACATAGTAAGTTCGAGGTTAGCCTGGACTACATAAGACACTGTGCTCCA